AGAGAGAGAGAGGGAGAGAGAGAGACGAAGATAGATAGGATAGATTAAAATACGGTTTATACTAACCGGGATAGTAGACGGTTTGGTGGGAAACGTTGTAGTTCGCCTTCGGTATACCGAGCAAGCATTTGACAATCGCTGCTTCCGGTAAATCTTCGTCCAGTAAGGCCGTTCGTGATAAGATATCGTACAGTCCATCGTCACGCAGCGTAACTGTAGGCTTCGCTGTTTGCTTTTCCGGGACACCCCTGCAATGGAAGCGACGTTCGCAAAATTATCACGGCCACGTTTCAACCCGAAATATCGTGCAATATGTCGGCCGAACGCGCGGCCATTAGCATGTTAATGTTATTTCCGAGACGCACGACCGTGTGTCTTGCTTCCCTGTTGCTGTTGTTGTTGCTGCTGTTGTTCTTGCAAAACTTTGGGCAAGTCGAGATATTTGGAACGAATTTTCGACGTTCTCGCTAGGCGAAGATCGTGAAATTTCGAGATTCTCTAGAATTCTAGGATGCCGGAGAGATTACGGAAAGTTTTTGAAGAAAACTTCGTAAATTTTTATACGTAAGATTAGACAATTGCAGGCTTGATGATTCTCGTTGCTCGATATTTCATTCCGAACGCCGTTACGAATATTTGAAATAACAATAATCCTAGTGTGGTGTGGTTGAAAACTTTCGTTTTGTCCCTTTACGCGTGGCACGTCTGTACTCCAGACATTTATTATCACAGGCAACGTAGCTACGAGACTGTTTCATAATTTTCGTTGTTATCGTTACCGGCGTTAAAACAAGACAATTTTATTTCCATTTACTTTCGTTTGAAACGCTTTCGTCGTTTGTATTTTTCTTACGTTGTACGCGAAAGAGCGTTTGTTATTAAAATTACTAACATCGACCGCGCTGAGTATTATTACTATTTACGTGTTTGCACACGTAAACTTTCACGTCTCCATTCTGGAAAGTTAGAATTTCACAAGTGTGCGCGATTTTCCTCATTTGCTAATTATTTACGTAACAACGTTGAACGTTTCGTTGGAAATAATTGCAAGTTAGAATTTCGTTCTTTCTTTTTTTTAAACTAAGATGGTAGCGAGATCGCGTCGCTTCGTGTGCAGACGTTTAATTCGTTAACAACGAAGCGGAAGTTGGTTTTTATCAAGATCTAAAAGTATCAGAAAATTAGGTAGTTTACCGTAGTGCACGGCTGAGGGGTTGGAAAGCTCGTTGGAGTACTTACTCGATGGATATATCTAGAGTGGGTTGTGGATATAGTCCTTCTGCCATGCACGTTATCTCCACCCCGTCCTTATTATCTATAGTTTTCTTTCTATATACAAGATCGAATTTGTCCTCCGTTGCTGGAACAAACAAGTTTCATTCAATTTATAATAAATCACAGGCATATTAAATTCCAATTAATTAATTTCTTTTTTCACTTTAAACGAAATACTTTTT